GTTTGTCCACCCCCAAAACTGAGATATTAAAAAAATAAAAAAATATTGCACATGGTTTTTAGCGAAAACAATAAATTTTATGCGAAATATATACGGCAATCGTTTGTCCACACATTATTTTCGTTTGTCCAGGGGGTTAATTTTTGAATCATTCGCCACCCTGACGTATGCGAAAACGTATACTTTTACCTAAACTGTATTTTTGACATACTCGATTCGTTTTCGCATGCGAAATTGACGTCACTTGGAATAGGCATTTAATAGGTTTTGCAATGACAAGACGTTTATTCATCTTGGTAAAGCAGTTTCATACTAGGTTTCTATTGGTAGATCATCGAATTTTGCTGAAATAATCTACAACTCTTCGTTAGGTTGATCTGTTCGCAAAATATTTATCGAAGGGCATTCAAAAATATACTTTCCTTGACGCATGCGATAAATGTCATATGCCAATTGACGCATACTATTTTTAGCGAATGGTTTCAAAAATTAACCCCCTGGCCTAATAAAAAAAAGTTATGACAAAATTAAAAATTTGCCCAAATTTAACATCAGCACCGCCATAAAAACTTTTTATTAATTTCTCATTTTATCCAAATTAAATATTAAATAGTGTGTGGACAAACGACTGCAATAGTTAGTTTTAATAAATTGTCATTAGAAGTACTTATATATTAATAATTGTTCATATTTTGAATTTTTTAATTGTTAATAACTTATTTCTGTTGGATTCACAAACAAAAATAATGTGTGGAAAAACGATTGCTATATTTAATTCATATGAGATGTATTAAGGTTGTCCCTAAAGACCATTGGCATTATTTATTTTTTATTTTTTAAACAGCTCGGTCTTGGGGGGTGGACAAATGAATTTTTTTTTGTTGGGCAAACGTGAACAAATCGTGGACAATCGAAAGCCACTTTGAAATTATCAACAAAATTTTGTGGCGGTGCTGATGTGAAATTTGGCACAAATTTTTAATTTTGTTATAACTTTTTTTTGTTGGGTAGACATTGGACAGAAATGTGACCTGGACAAACGAAAATAATGTATGGACAAACGATTGCAATAGTTAATCTATATATAAACAGGCAAGGACAAAATAGTTCAGTACCATTTTCTCTACTGTTTGTGAACCGTTTCTTTTATTTTTGTTTAGTAGCTATTGACGAGCTTTAAAGTTATCAATAAACATTTTTTGGAAATAGTGATTTTTTCCGAATTTTCGATATATGAAATCCATTTATCCACAATTATGAATTATGATTGACTAATAAAATTAGCCTGTAGCGAACATGAGCACCCTTTAATTTCGGAACCAGCATGGATAATATTACATGGACGGATAGAGGATCGAGAAAAACGAAAAAAAAAAATTACTTCTACCCACACTCCTCTTCCTCCTCTCTTTAATGGTAAGGGATACAAAAAACAATAATAGTGGGGCCGTAGGCCCCGTCTGAAACGATTTGAAACCGACCAACTTCCCCTCTTAATTTTTCCATTACCCCAGGGAAGGTCGATATATCGCTGGTTTAAAATTATAAGGTTCTATGTTTCAATTTTGACACAATGTGAATTATTGGGCGCGTTCAGCCGACGCAACAGTTGATTAAAACTAAAAACATGTTTCTGATATGGTGGAAGTCAACAATTAAAAGTATCTGAACGGTATAAGTTGGTTCAGCGGTTAGACAATACACATACACGTGGTGACCTCTAACGATGATATACATAAGATCATTTTCGGTTACAAATTAAGATTACGTAAAAATATATTAGAGAGTTAAAGCAATGCCAAAAACGTATACGTAAACGTATCTAATGACAGCTAGGCATGCGCAATAGCTATTTTACCCACGTATCTATTTACGTCTTACGTAAACGTACGTGTTCTTACGTACGCCTAATACGCATTCGTATCGAGCCGAGCAAATGCTTCGGGAGCATCCGATCGCACCCGATTTAATAAAACTAATGACAGATTGTAACTTTATATTATTCTGTTTTTTAAATTTTGAGCCATAATACACATCACATTTATTCCTAGAAAGTTCATTAAAAAAAGAATTAATAAAAATTACCGGACATTGATACTCGATCATTTTAATTATAGCTGGCATGCCAAGCCTAATTATGTCGATTATTGAAATTGAATCTCCCATATAAAACATCACTATTTTCCAAATTTTCTTTATTATGTAGAATTTGAAATGTACAGCATCATCTAAATCTTCCATCATTTAAAACCGTTACATTAATCATTTACTCAATATAACTATCTACTTTTCTCAAAAAGTACCTAAGGTTATAAAGTTGTAGATACGTTTACGTCAGTGCTTTTGCTTTAACTATTGTTTTCTTCCAGATTGCTCGTTTAGCGTATCAATTTCCACGTTTACGTCAGAGAGACACATACGTATCTAGCATTGCTTTAACTCTCTATTAAGTCATAATCAGTCAGTTAACTTTAGAATTTTAAATACAACAAAGAGTGGTTAAAAATCAATAAAAAAACACTAGAAATCTCTAAATTAAAAATTTGCAACAATGACGGCCATTTGCACCGACTTTTTATTTAAGATTCCTTACTTAAGGTTCCTTAAATATTTAAGGAATCCCTAAAATTATGTAATTTGCACCATCTACATTTTAGGCCGCCTTACCAAAGGAAGTTTAGTTATTCTTCTCATCGGTAAGTAGTCTTGTTCTTAATCGAAAACCAGTAATGTGTATCGAAATTTTGATATATTGATAATGAATAAAAAAAAGAAGAAAAAGTTAACCCATACTATACTTAAAAAAATAAAAAAAAGACCGGTAAATGACGTCTTTCATCGTGAAAAAAACTAAAACTATAAATTGTTAACCCTGCCTGTGTAACTTTTACGTTTACCGGTAGTGGTAGTAGATCTCAAAAATCTCTCTTGAGAAATTTAACTGATTGGAAAAAACAAGAATATATAGAATATCGAAATAGATTGAACAAAATAATTAAAAACACAAAAATCTCTTATTATTCAAACAAAATAAAACAATTTGTGATATTTTTAATTTGTTCCAGAACTTGCATTAGGTACAGTTTCTGTATACAATCAAAACCTTTTAAAGAAGATCAAATTATCCATTTCGTTGAAATAATTAGTTCTATTATACAACCACCTTGGAAAGAAATCAAAATTTGTGTTCTTATTGCTTTCAATTTTATCAAATTTATTTAAAAAATAGTGCTATTTCCAAATACAATTTTATTGCAAAAAATTCGAACAATTCCAGTTACAATTGCAGATAATTCCAGACAATTCCAGTTACAATTCCAGACAATTGCAGATAATTCCAACAATTTCAATTACAATTCCAATAATTCCAATTACAATTCCAGTGAAAATTCCAACAATTCCACGGGGTTGTACACAATAATTCCGGGGAAAATAAAGAAGTATTAATAATACCATTGTTTAAAGAGTAGAGAACAATGATAATACCAATATTGTAGGACTCGTCAATTAATAAATATTTATAGTGAGATTTGTTTTGATCTGTAGGTAATTCGCGTTTGGCCAAATTTTTTTAGTAAAGAAACTATTACTCTAGAGCAGTGGTTCTCAAACTTTTTTGGTGAGGAACCCTTTTGAAAAGCGAAATATTTGACGGAGCCCTAAACACATTTCACATTTCTTAAAAAAAGTCCTCCGAGCAAAATGTTGCTCTAACCTCTGGCCTCTAAAAAAAAGGTCCTCATACCAAAATTATGTACTCCTTCCGTCCTTCCTCTTCCTAACTTCTATAAAAAAAAATAAAAAACAAAAAAAAGTCCTCCAACCAAAATACCAAAATCATATACTCCTTCCTCTTCCTGACTTATTAAAAAAAGGTCCTCAAGCCAAGTCCCGTTGTAGCGATAGGTACTGCTTTTTTGTTATGACCATTATTTTCTTCGCGGAGCCCCCACAAAGGCTTTGTGGAGCTCCAGGGCTCCGCGGACCACACTTTGAGTAACGCTGCTCTAGAGGTACATTTTTATTGGTAATTTTAAAAAGTTATAACAAAATGAAAACCTCAAAATGAAGTACCACATCAGATTGGCTATAGCCATCATCAGGCCTTAACACTAATGAAGGTAGAGGGAAGGCAATATATTAGATTAAAAAGGATGGAATCAATAAAAAGAGGTACTGAGAAAAGTATTAAAAATAACAATTACATTTAACAGTGGGTGAGTATTGTGTACGATATTAGACAAGTAAATAAGAATATCTGATAATACCCTAAAATGTGGCCAATATAGACTATAGCAAAATTAGCTGAGATAATAAAAATATATGTTTTAATTAAACAATTTTTATAATCTCTAAATTAACAAATAGGTACTTATTAGATTTACAGCAAAAAATATCCAAATAAAAAAGATTATTTTTAAATCGCATTAGGTACCTAGAAGTAGAAGTTTATTTTTCATGTCACCTGTTCATGTAATTAATTATTGTGAATGGAAGCAAGCGACTCTTGTTAAATATTTTTTTATGTCGGTACTTAGATTATTATTTAAGAAATGTCACGACTATGTTCCTACAGTTGCCTCTGTGTTTCTATAAAATGTTCCTGTAGTTAGGTAAAGGTAGTTGTTAAACCATAATAATTATATAAAAAAGTTCAACTTAACTAGGTACGGTTTTTCTGTATTTTTTTTTTTTTTTTAATAATTATTGATTTTTCAACTGGTTTTTTTTTTCCAAAAAATTAAATCGCTACAATTAATTTGTTTATATGTATATTGGATATTGCTTATGTTGGTAAAAATAATTTCAAAGTTTGTTAACATTTGATGTTGTTGCTTTGTCCAGAGAACTGCAAAATAATAAAGGCATACCCTAATTTATTTTCCCGCTATTATTTAATATAGCTTTCAGTGATTCACCTACCTGAGAAGAGGGACATTTAAAAATTATATTTTCTAATATCTTTACATACCCAGATAAATTTTTTTTATTTAACTTACCTATTGGTAAATCGCATATCAAGCAGCAAGCTGCAATAGCGCCAGCGGACGCACCGGAAATTTTGTCCAGCAATAAATGGGGCGCGTATTTTCGAAAACAACACGCAACTCCGACATGGTAAATTCCCAAAAAACCGCAACCGGCGAAAGACAGATTCATTATTTAACTCTAACTAACTAATTAACAACAATCAATATCACAATAAATATCACCTAAAATGTTTCGATCACAATTTTTTTTATGTTCGCCTATATATTTCTGTATGTCGTAATAAATAATTGTATTTCGTGTTGTACGTAATCACTCTTAACTTGTTTTGATTGAAGTGGGTAACTGCGAACATATTTAAACTTGGCTGAGCAGTTTTACGCTGTTGCCGGTTGCTCTACAAAAATTTCCGTTAGATAAATAGATATGGACAATACTGACAATTTTTACCTCGAGGTCGGAAATTTACAATAGTTGAAAATAAGACCCGATAAGGCACATATTTTGGAAGTTTTTCAACAGACCAAGGACCCGATTGGTGGATATAGATGCAAGTTTGGAGCCATTAAATGTTGACTTATTATTAGTATTGCGATTATTTATTTCAAAATTAAATACATTTAAAACTTCCTTTTCTCAAATGGTGCCAAAGATGTCATTACCTGGAAACATAATACAGATATAAGTTTAATAATTAGTAAATTGCTATAAATATTTTTAATTCGGCAACAATGTTTTTAATTACGATAAACGATAACATACATTGCCAGACTTCATTCTCTTTATTAAAAAAATATACAGGTATAGTTATTACTTATTAGTTTTAGATTTGCTTAATATTAAATTGAATTTAAATATTTTTAATAATAGTACCTAGTCAATAAAAATAATACTCTCACTAAAGTTCACACCCTTACAAGTGAACCCTTAAAGAGCTTATGTAGGGAGGGACAGCTATAATATAATTATATGTATAATTTTTGCAATTAAAAATGATGAGTAGGTATTTTATGCTTTTAATTAGTAATTAGTTAAGAACTTTATAACTAGGTAGTTTAAAAAGAAACACATTTAAAAGTAAAAATATTAAAATGAGTACTTGACCACAATGAAAATAAGATAAAAAAAGATAGATATAATATGTAGAACACTTTTAGCCACTGGTAAGAGATTAATATATAATATTGATATATTTATATGACATTAATCAGAAATGAATACCTATATATCTACCAAAGTGAAGGGATAATGCTCTTCAATAATAGAATAGTACAAAAAATAAAAATGCGAAACAATAAAAACAAAAATACATATAATATGAATAAACTTTGTACAAAAAAAATGTGTTTTTCATAATGATATTTGATAGGGATAAGGAGACCCCCGCTATGAGTAAATAAGTGTCAGTTTTTTTTATTATATATTTATTGTTTTGCTTAACAGATAATGTAATCAATAAATATCTTTGATCTACCTATTTGCCTAATACGAAATAAACAAAATGATTAGATGAAGGTATAGTTCAAGAGTTGTATTATAGTGTAAGAACTTTTTATTATTATTTTTATCATTTCAACGCCTATTTGATATTTTCTCAACCAATTGGACGGCAGGTTGATAAAGTTCATAGATTAATAAACGATAAACAATAGTTGATAAAAAATTAAAAAATGGAATGTGGATGACATGTGAATTTAAATACTTACAATAATGTACAATTTCGAAAACATATTGCAAAAATATTTGTTCGCTTTTTGGGATTAAACAATTACCAACATTCCACAAGAAACATACGAGAGTAGATATTAAGTGACTTGTAATAAATTATAATACTGTTTATTCACTATTAAGCTTAGAGAACTAATATGATTTTAATAAACGTTAATAGACGATGGAAAAATAATTTAATTACATGCTACAGTTGTATTTAAGATATATTCTAAAGTCTATTTAAATTTAATTTACGCTTGATGTAAACAGAAGCAGGTGGACGCTAAAATTGAGCAGGGCCGCATTTTACTTTTCCGTCTTGCAAAAATGTAAAATAAAAGAGTGTGATTGTGAAATTATTTTTTTATTACGATAAAAACATATTTTGTAAAGTAAAACTATAAAATAAATGCCATACACGGTCTCCCAAATTTTAGTGACATTTCTGGACGAAGCTAGGTGAGCGACATAAACTGCGTTAACCTGCAATACAAATTAATAAATGTATTTGACTTTAAAAGGGATGGTTGCATTATATTTAGTTCATTACATATGTCTACTGTGATACAGAGCATTAAAACAATCATATTATAAAATTATATTGTACAGGGTGTCCAAATAATTGCAAATTCTTTAATAGCTAATATATATCTACTAAAGGCATTAAAAAACTTTAAATGTAAGAGGTATTTGGTATTTGATTTAAAATTGTGCATCTTAAAAAGAAACCTTTTGTATTTTTGATAACTTTTGTTCTTTATTGTTCTTGTTCTACTAATATTTAGATTAGACAACTTGTACCCTGTATTATAGCGATCTTCCTTACTTGACTTAGCACTATTCTGAATCGGATAAATTAGTTAGACTTGAAAGGCTATCTTCATTAATCAAAATTACAAGTGGTTCTACCTGAACCTCTATAATATTATCCAACTCCCACATTTTTACTTCAACTTTTTGGCGAACATGGTCGATACACTTTTTCCATTTTTCTGGAGAAATTAATAATATTACTTCTTCAAAAAGAATTTTAATGTCTCCAGATTTAAATGTTGAGTTTTTATCTGCTACGTATTGTTTAACGTCAACCTAGATTAATTCAATAGGGTTAAGTTCACAATGATACGGAGACATGTGAAGTATTATGTTGTTTTGCTGCTTAGCCATTTCATCTATTACATACCTATCATAATTTTTATGTTGCTTACCAAGTTTTAGAAGTTGGATCTTAAGCATTTGGTAGTCGAATTCAATTTTTTTCCATTATAGCCATTTTTAAATATCACCTTTTTTAGACGTCGTAGATATTTTTTCCAGCTTTCTCGAATAATAATGCAGTTATCTTCTAATTTTGGTAGGGTGTTTGAAAACCACTCTTTGAACGATTCTCCACACATTTCTTCATGGTAGTCACCCGATTTTTCAACTCAAATACATAAAGTGCATTAGAGATTAGAGACAAAGCCTTCTTCACTTCCAATATGGCATATAATGAGCTGTTTCATCCAAAAAGGCTCGTCTGGATGAAAAAACCGACATATCGAAACATACTTTTGATTTGGTGTGGCCTGCGTTAATCCAAGTCTAATCAAGATAATATATTTTTTAATTTTCTTCTCTGTACCGTTTTATTTTTTGTGGCGTAGGACGAAACAATTTCATTTTTGTCTAAAAGCAAACTATTTTTTCCTCGAGTTTTAAATTTAAAATTAAGGGTTTTGAAAAGCTTGTAAAATGTAGCTCGCTTAAAAGTAGACAAATATGGATCATCGTTGACTTCTTATAAAACCTTATCAATTGTTGGAAGTTAATTTCTAAAGAAGAATTGATGTACTTTGCGCCTTATTGCATTTTTATCAAAATCATCCACAGAGCCACTAATTTGTTTATAACGTAGCTTTCTTTTTGGTTCAGAAAATTTATGAATCTGCCTATATCCTTCATAACATTAAAAACGGTTTTAGCGCACATCCCTGTTTTATCAGCAACTATCCTTTCAACATCATGTACCAACATATCAGGGTTCTATAAATTTTAATGCTTATAAATATTAAGAAACATTTCTTTAGTACGGATGACCAAATGTCCCTTTTTCAGTCGCTTTTTAGAAAGAATAAAAACATTTTTCTGGACTTCATCTGTTGTATCTGTGGAGGACATAGTGTCACGCAGCAATTACAAAATATAGTGAATTAAATGTCCATAAAATAGAGTAAAACATGTTCAAACTAACAACAACCACAACAACAAAACAAAAATAACACAATATATGTATATCTAAACTATAATATAATTAATTATAATCAATCAAACATACAAAATGTCCAAACTAACCAACACGGTGAATGCTACCAAACGCCGTTTATAATTATCCAAGTTGAACTGAATTCGACTCTGACAAAAAATATTTGCGCGTCGTCTAAATGACTAACGACCGATTAACCAATAGAAGCGCAAAAAAATATCACGTGAGCTGTTGCTGGATGGGAGAAATTGTTTTGACGCGGCGTAAATGAAATCTGAATAGACTTTAGGCATGTATTGACGTATAATAATGCATAAAAAGACCCCTTTTACTAATCCGAAGAACAAAAAGAAATTTCGGCCACGAGACCTTTTACTAATCCAAAGAACAAAAAGAAATGTTGGCCACGTGACCGAATATTTGTGTTTGTCAATGATATTCGAGTTATATAGCTTAAACGAAAGCCTTTTATTATCTCCCCGGGTTTTCAAGAATAAAAAAAGTCATTTTTACCGAATCGGGTAAAACATGCTTGCACGGTCAATACTCTTATTTGAAATTCATACAAACATTGTGATAGCAATTAAACCACTTTTTACTTTTGGTTCCGATTTTACACCCATTTCAAAAAATATGCCCCTTTTTTCCAGGTTGCATTTCAAACCTTTCGCAGACACAAAAAATGCTTGCAATACCATCTTAGATAAAATAAACGGGTTCAAGCTATACCGAATTTCGTTGAAAAACTGAAATTTACGGCCACGTGGCCGAAATCACTAGACCGGAAGTAGCAAAACCAAAGGACAGAAAATGCTTACAAAAGGATTTTTTAAATTTTATTTTACGTCTTGAGTTCACATTTGAGTTGGAATTATTTTCCGATTTTTTTTATTGTTATAGACGTCTAGAAGCATATTATTTTATTGCTGGCCAAAACAAAATCCATCGAAAAGCAAATTTACTTTGAATTTAACAGGTTATGTGACAGCTCCCGCCACCGGGACATAGTTCATCCCCACACCGTGTACCCAACTACAAATAGCAAGCAAAAAAACACGACATGCTACTTTTTGCAGTCAGCTGAGTATACCTAATCAGGAAGGTATCAGAAATGAGACAACTGAGAACTTTGAGGAATTATCGGAATTCGTACAACATTTTTCGTCATCATCGTCAATTTTACGACATATTATTAGTGTTCTAGTGTTAAGAAGGTGCATTTTGGAAAGATTATTATTGTTGTTATAGCTATCAATTGCATGTTCTCATTACAAACGATTACTTCTCAGCGAGGACCACGAGAAGGTAAGAGCACTTTCCTCATCGAGATAGTATTGGGTAATTGGGATTATAGGCAAAGGATTTTATGAGATTAGAAATTAAAATAAATATATACTCTAATCAAACTAAAA